TTTGCTTATGTGGTGCTGAGGAATTGAACCCAGGGCCTCATGCATGCAAGGCAAGTGCTCTACCACTGAGCCACCTTCCCAGCCCCTCCGTGAGACTCTTATCTCCAATAAACCACTAGAAAACCAGAAGTGCCATTGTGGCTGAAGTGGTAGAGTGCTCACCTTGAGTTGAAGAGCTGAGGTATAGCACCCAGGCCCAGAGTTCAAGCCCCATGACAGACAAAAAAAAAGAGCCTCTGAGTTCAAACCCTAGTACTGCCAAGAAAATTCTTTGGATCATGTGTAGATCCTTAGTAAATATAATTAGAAAATAATAATAATCAACAGAGGCCTCTTTCTCCATCTATAAAATGGGCAAAAAATAAAATACAATGGGGATTAAAAAAAAAGAGAATGAGATATGCATGTCAAGTGCATCATCATCTTTTTTTTTTTTGTCAGTCCTGAGGCCTGAACTCAGAGCCTAGGCACTGTGCCTGAACTTTTTTTGCTTAAGGCTAGTACTCTACCACTTCAGCCACAGCACCACTTCTGGCTTTTTCTATTTATGTGGTATTGAGGAATCGAACCCAGGACTTCATGCATGTTAGGCAAGCACTCTACCACTAAGCCACATTCCCAGCTCCATCATCATTTTTTTGCCAGTCCTAGAGCTTGAACTCAGGGCCTGGGCACTGTCCCTGAACCTATTTTGCTCAAGACTAGTACTCTAGCACTTGACAGCACCTCTTCTGGCTTTTTCTGTTTATGTGGTACTGAGGAATCAAAGCCAGGGCTTCATGCATGCCAGGCAAGTCCTCTACCACAAAGCCATATTCCTAGCCCCATCATCAATTTTTTAAAGACAAAGTTTAGCTATGTAGCTCAGGCTGATTCTTGTGATTCTTCAGTCTCAGCCTCTGGAGTGATGGGATTACACCTACCTAGCTTATCAGCATTTCCATATAGATCCATTTTGAGTTTGTTCAGACAGTTTAAGGTATAATTTACATTATAGTAACTACCAAATGTTACCCTCAACAGATGCAAAATTGTGGATCCAGAACTGTACCAGATGAAGGGGTGAACTCATTTCAGACTCTCGGCCAGATGTGCAACCATTGAATCTGAAGAATGGCAGCCAGGTTACTCTGGGGCATCCTCAGCCTACTGCGAGTGCTGTGGTGCCTCCTCCCTCAGACAGGCTATGTGCATCCGGATGAATTCTTCCAGTCACCTGAGGTCATGGCAGGTAAAGCCCCTGGGTATGGGGAAGATCTGGTTGACAGGCTGACTGGGTATTCAGTGGGAAGGGAAGGACGTGCACGTGCTGATGAGCAGTGAGCCCACAGCAAAGCTGTAGCCTGACTGGGATAAGAACTCAGAAATGGGAACTTTGTATCTCCTTTCCGAGTGCCGACCCTGACCTTGTGGATGATATTAATAAAACAACAGCCTCCTAAAATGTCTTCCTGCTGGGCCCAACAGGTCGCTCACTCAGACTGCTGGTATGTTTGTTAGAGGAAAATGAACAGACAACAGAGAAACCAAACCAAAAACTCAGAGAAGCAGGAGTAACCCTGGTTTATTATGCCAGCAGGCCCAAAGGGCTTCCTCCTCCAAACTCTGAGCCCCCAATGTCCAGATTACAAGGTCCTTATAGCATTACTTGGGGGTAGAGAGGGCTGGACTACTAGGGCTGAGCTGGTTGCTGATAGGTGAGTTTAAACTAGGGGAGGGGGTTGCAGGAGAACAGCAGTTAAGTTTAGGTCTGGAGGGGGATGCAGGCACAGAGCAGTCGACATAGGCTTATGGCCGGGTCAACAGTCAGGTAGTCTGCAGAAATCACAGGTCACACTCTGAAGTCACATTCTTTCAGGAGTCTTCAGAAATCATATGCTGTGTTTAGGTTAACCTTTAAGCAAAGTTTTACAAGCTGATGCTTAAGATAATACTATTAGTTTACAACAATGTCAATCTCCCAACTGTTTTCTGGGCTGTGTGGGAGGTCCTATCTCATTGAAGGTTTTTAGGCCAAGCTTCTTGACATCCTCTCCCCCTTTTGATGGCTTTTCTAGCAAGAAGGAGCATCAGTCACCTGTAAGATTTATCTGCTTATATTGAGTCAGGACATCTTCAGTTTGATAGCCTCTAGGCTTGAGCTAATAAAAAGAGTGCCTGTCATAATCCTACTTCTTGTAGGCATGGGAGCAGCCAGCACAGCTGGGACAGGCTCTGGGGCTACCTGTCCCAAGTCCAATACCAGCAACTCTCAACCCAGATAGGCCAAGATCTCTCAATACCAGCAACTCTCAACCCAGATAGGCCAAGATCTCTCAAATGTTGGTCAGTCTGTAACCTCCAAGATCAAATAGACTCACTGCCGAGTGTAGTTCTCCAAAACAGTAGGGGCTTAGACTTGTTTGTTGTCTAGGGAGGCCTCCCACACCTTACCACTCCAGACTTACTGACATAGAACAGTACTCTTCCCCCAGGAAAGTGCAGAGGCAAGAGGACTGGGCTCAAGGGTGTACCTGAGGTTGTATGGTAGGTTCAGTATTGCCCCAGGCCCGCATATCCAGTGGCTCTCACGTGAAGGCAAAGCCAGCAGTCCTGAGCCAGATCAGTATTGGTTCGATTAAAAGCCCATGGGTGGCAATGACTAGGGATAGGATTCCAAAGGACTTAGGGAGGACATGGGTCCCTTGCCATTCTGGAGCCCCTGTCATAAGGCTTCCATGAGTGAGGGCTGAGTCATCGACCTGATCAACAAAGAACTTTTGTACATGGCTATATTGTCCCAGGTCACTACTTCTGGCATAGGTACTTATTCCTGAGATCTTTCCAGTGAACCAGCCTGCATCAGCAAGGCTGCTAACAGTGAGCTGGATGCACTGCAATGAGTCATTAGATCCCAGGTGTCAGGGGCTGTCCCATGCCATGCATTCCCATCAGTGACAGGGCATGTGGTGTTCACAGGAAGATTTCCAGGCCACATTTAGTTTTCATGGTTAGAATACCACCGTTACCAGAACAGGTTCTCACAATTTAAATTTGGCTTTATGGCCAAGTAAATTGGAGCGTTGCTGAGCTTTTTCCAGTCCTCCATGTGGTTTGGTTTAGAATTTGTTTGCTTCCCTCAATTACAGAGACTGGAGCCATAGTAATGCAGAGCCAGGAGGCCTGGGGTGCACACTGTCATATGCCAGAGGCATCTTGGTGCCCCACGCCAATATCTGACGGCTATAACACTTCCCACAGCAATTCACTACAACGGGGCTCACAGCACTTTATGCTTCCAGTCCCAACCCTGAGATGCCATAGTGGTTAGACCTACAGCAAACAGGGTGGCCACTGGACCAATTAGCAAAAACAAATAGGGGTGGCAAGAAGGAGTCATAAGGTCTTGATGGACGATTCCTCAGTCTTTTGCCTTGTGTTGAATAACAAGCTTCCAGGGTGTGGTTGGAGCAGGGCTGGTGATCTGCAGAAGACTACTAGGCAATCTTCTGGATTTTCAGGTTGAAAGGGCTCGCTGGGCCTCAGGCTGTCTGCCACTGGTCAGGATGATCAGGGGCTGTTGCCTTCTCCATCCAGAAGTAGTGGGTCTAGGGAATGACACCTGCAACTTTAACAGTGATTGGGGTATCCAATATTACCGTATGAAGGACCATCCAGGTCGGTTGGAGTGGTTCCCTTTTCTGATCTTTTCTCCATACCATATCACCTGGCTGGTAAGTGACATCAGTTTCCCATGGAATAGGACCTTCTGTAGGATATCTAGAGAAACTAACGTCATCCCCAAGGCCTGGAGATGTCTGGATATTCCCAAGTCCTCCATATGTTTTAGCTCTCCCACCCCTTTGCCTGCCTACTATAGGAGGATACCTACTATTAAAGATTTCAGAAGGTGAGTACCCAGAGGGCCATAGGGTGCAGTATGCCCAAAATAAGGCAAAAGGCAGCATCTGTACCCAAGGAGACTGGGATTCCTGACACAGTTTGGCTGTAGTTTTGAGGGTTTGGTTCATGTGCTCAACTTTCCTAGAGCTCTGGGAGCCTATAGGCCCCATACCTTGGCGATGCCCTAGGTGACTTTGGCCTAGAAGTCCAAAGAGGACTTTCAAAGAGGAAGACTACACCTGGGAAGAACTTCTCTCAGTAGGCCTTTCAGCCCTTCTTGTACCTTCTCAATGGGAGTTGGACATGCTTCAACCCATCCCAAATAGGTGAAGACCAGGACCAAGACTTCTCAGTCTTCAGTGCATGGCACCCACTGCTTGTATACCTGGGCTTGGCCTGGTTCTCTGGTGTGCATTATTTTTTTGCACATGTGGTATATTTTTTATATTTTATCGTAAAGATACTGTACAGAGGGCTTACAGTTAGTTACACGGTAAGGTAATGAGTACATTTCCTATTGAGCATTGTTATTTCCTTCACACCACTTATTTGGGTGCATAGTATAGGTAGCTTTGAAATGAAGTAGTATCTACTTAGGTTTTCCATAGGTGTTTTCCCCAGATGTTTTAGTTTGTATTTTTTTCTGTCAGTCATGGAGCTTGAACTCAGGGCCTCACTGTCCTTGAGCTCTTTTTGCTCAAGCTTAATGCTTTACCACTTGAGCTACAGAGCCACTTTTGGTTTTCTGGTGGTTAACTGCAGATAAGAGTCTTATGGACTTTCCTTTCCAGGCTGGCTTTGAACCTGTATTCTCAGATTTTAGCCTACTGAGTGACTAGGATTACAGGCATGAGTCACCAGCCCCTGGCCATGATATTGTCTTATTAAAAGAACGGCTATGGCACCAAAGCCTAAGAGTCTCTGGTCAGGCAGCTTCCACCAGCTCTCTTCTTCCTTCATCCCCTTTTCATCTCTTGCCCATTGCTCCTCCTACTTGATGTAAGTGGGGACAGGAGGCAATTCTGGGGCCAATGCAAGTTTGGTAGTTTGTTCTGGCTCTTCAGGTGAGCTCAGCTTTTTGCTGCCTCTCGTCACCTGGTCAGCCAAGTAGTTACCCCTGATGACATGATCCATGCTCCGATGCCCCCCCTACAGTGCACAACCCTCACTTGGGATGGTTCCCAGACCACTCCTAGCAATCAGATGATTTCTTCCTTGTTTTTCTCTTCTTCTACTGTAAGCAGTCCTCTTTCCTTGCAGATTGCTGTATAAATGTAGTGAAAGCATACTTGGAGTCCATGAAGGGTTTTTTTTTTTTTTTGGCGACTGTGGGCTTGAACTCTGGGCCTGGGTGCTGTCTCTCAGCTTTTCAGCTCAAGGCTAGTGCTCTACCACTTGAGCCACAGCGCCACTTCCGGTTTTCTAGTGGTTTATTGGAGATAAGAGTCTCATGGACTTTCCTTCCCGGGCTGGCTCTGAACCACGATCCTCAGATCTCAGCCTCCTGAGTAGCTAGGATTACAGGCATGAGCCTGTTTACCTGTGTTTTTCCTGCATGTGGTAAGCCTGGATTTGTGTGCAGAGTTCAGCTTGCCATGCAGACCACCCCTGGGGCAGGCCTTCTGCCTGTGTGATGTCACTTATGGTGGTGGACACAAACCCAGCTTTTGTTGTCCCACTTGGACAAAGCTACTTCCAACTGTGAAGAGTTCAAGTTCTGGGTTTGGGAAGGAAATATAACACTGATCTCTTGTCCCAGGGAGAGCTATCAACCTCCCTGATCAGGACTGTTGTAGCCACTAAGGCCATCCTGATGCTGCCAGGTCCAGGCACTTTTGACAGTCCATGAGCTGTTGCCATGGGCACACAGTCTGGGTAAGGACTCCCGGGGCTGTGTGGCTATTTTCATGGATGAAGAGATCAAATGGCCACATTATGTCAGACAGTGCCTTCCAGCACTGTTCCCACATGGGGCTCACCCAAGAGCAGGTCATCTACATACTGGAGTAGTGTAGGTGTCCTGGGAAGGTAGACACATCTGTTGCCAGGGCTTCCCCAATATTGTGGATGATTTTTTAATTTTTTATTGTTATTATAAAGGTGATGTGTGTAAGGGTTACAGTTAGATAAGTCAGGTGAAGAATATATTTCTTTTTGGACAATGTCACCTCTTCTCTCACTGTGGGTGAGCTTTTGAAGCCTATGGCAGCCTGATCTAGGTCACCTGGGTTTTTCTTTCAGTATCGGGATATTCCCATTTGAAGACAAATGGTGGCTGACTGACTGGAGCCATGCAGAGGCAGAAGAAAGCATCTTTCAGATCTAGGTTGCTTGTGGAGGCAGGAGAATCGGGAGAATACAGTGATGGGTGCAACATGACAACAGCACTGCTGATTGCTTGGAGGTCTTGAACAAGTTGGTAGTCATTTCCAAATGCTTTCCTGACTGGGAGGAGTGGGTTTGTGTGGCTATTGGCATTCAACCACTGTGTCTGTATCTTTGAGTCTCTGGAGATGAGCCTGGATTCCTATTCATGCCTCCCAGGCTATCAGGTATTGCCTCAGCCTGACAGGATAGATACAAGGTGTGAGATCTACCACTGTGGGGGCATGATTGTAGGCCAGGCCAGGGGGAGGCCCTTTTCAGCCGAGACTTCTGGAAAAATCTTCCACTAGGCAGATGGGCTTGTCAGGCTCTGTTCCTTTTGGTGACAGGGAGCAGAGCAGGGTCACACTCTGAGGTCACATTCTTTCAAGAGTCCTCAGAAATTATGGGAATGTTAACCTTTAAGCAAAGTTTTATGAGCAGGTGGTTAATAGTCATGGTGGTTTACAACAATGGCAGTTTGGGAAACTGCTGGGAGCAGTTTTCTGTACCATGCAGGAGGCCTATCTTATTTCAGGTCTCTGCCTCATGTCAGCCAAGCTCCTTGCCAGGTTCTCAGTGAGATGATTTGAGTTGGGCTTTCCCAGGGGCCAGAAAGCTTAACAGGATGTGATTTGAGGCAGTGACACTTTTCTCCTGTAGGTTCCCAGAAAGAGTGCCTACTCCCTTTAAGATCACGTTTTGTAAGTCATATACTTTTGCTCATTTATATCTCTTCAGTCAGAATGTACTACGTCGCTCATCTAGTTGCAAGGGAAGCTGGAAATAACCTTTATATCTGACCAAGTGCCTGCTAATAAGACTAAAGAAGAAAGGGGAAACAATATTTGGGAGACCTCCAGCTAACTCTGTCACAGTGTTCAACGGTGGATTTCTTTTTAAATTTCAGTAAGGATTTATTTCAGCATAACAAACTTAAAGCAGGGAGAGAGAGAGAGAGAGACACTCCCTGCTCCCCAAGCAGGAAATGGAAGTTAAAGACTCCAAATAGCAGATGTTACCTACTACCTTTACTCTCTCTGAGCTGGGGTAATACATGTGGTCATGTTGTCTAGCAGCCCCCAACCCTGGGTAGCCAATATGAGTGTTACTCATTCTTAAATATGGAGATATTGCTGAGTGCCAGTGGCTCACCCTTGTAATCCTAGCTGCACAGGAAGCTGAGATCTGAGGATCAAGGTTCAAAGCCAGTCTGGACATGAGATTCTTATCTCCAATTAATCACCAAAAAAGCAGGAAGCTATGGCTTAAGTAGTAGAACACTAGCTCAGGCACAGGTACAAACACACGGAGATGTCAGGCACACACACACACACACGGAGATGTCTCTGGATCTACCCAAACCATCAACAGGCAGGTGAGTTTTAGGGCTTCCTTTCTCAGATATGGTTCAAATCTTACTACCCATTAAAGAGTTGCCAGGTTTAAAGGGCAATTTTAGACAGCTAATCCCCTTTAGGTCTCTCAGTTCTTATAATTAATAATAATAGCTATTGGTAGTATTAGGTTTAAACGCAAGGCATTGCTGTTGCTAAGTAGATGCTCTACCATTTGATCCATGCACACAGCCATAAATTTTGGCAGTTGTGTGTGTATGTCTGTGGTTTTTGAGAGTCTTGCTGAATATTTCAGGCTCGCCTCAAATTTGTGGTCCTCTTGCCTCAGCCTCCTAAATGTTGGGATTATAGGCGTGTGCCATCATACCTGGCTTGAATACATTACCCTGTCTGTTTCTGGTCATCACTCTCACACCCCTCTCTCCAGAGACACAGACAAACTCCATCATAAAGATGGGTGTTTGGCTCTGAGATCCCGAGAAGAGGAATAAAGCCTTCTTCTGTTCCTCCTCACCCCTTTCCCAGCGAACACTGTTACCTCATTTCCCAGGTGTGGTTCTTTCTGCCCTCTCCACAAGGTGAGGCCTTACCTACCTACCTTGAGTTTCCTTCCTGTACAACAAACTATCACACGCCTAGCAGTTTACAACTTCACCCATTTGTTGGTTTGCAATCTGGCTCCGGTTCTGCTCTGCTCAAGGTACCACTAGGTTGAAATGAATGGATAGGCCTGAGTTTTTGTTTTTAATTGCCAGTCCTGGGGCTTGAACTCAGGGCCTGGGTACTGTCCCTGAGCTTCTTTTGCTCAAGCTAGCACTCTACCACTTAACCAGTACCACTTCTTTTTTTTTTTTTTTTGTCAGTTGTGGGGCCTGAACTCTGGGCCTGGGCGCTGTCCCTCAGCTCTTCAGCTCAAGGCTAGCACTCACCACTTGAGCCAGAGCTCCACTTCTGGCTTTTTCTGCTTATGTGGTGCTGAGGAATCGAACCCAGGGACTCATGCATGCGAGGCAAGCACTCTACCACTGAGCCACCTTCCCAGCCCCCCACTTCTGTCTTTTTGTGTGTATGTGGTACTAAGGAATTGAACCCAGGGCTTCATGCATGCTAGGCAAGCAGTCTACCACTAAGCTACCTTCCTAGCCCTGGGCTGAGTTCTTGTTTGGCAGTGGTGGGGGAACAATGGCTTCCAAACTCATTGTTATTGGCAGAATTCAGTTCACACAACAGTGGTGGCTATTTCCTCACCATCAGCGCCTGGAGGCCACCTGCATTCCTTGCTAACAGCCTCTTCCATCCTAGGAGGTAAAAGAATCACTGAATCATTTTCATGCTTTCGATCTTCTCTTGCCTCCTCTGTATCCAGGTGGAGAAAATTGCTCTTCCAGAGCTGGCTTAGTCAGGTCAAACCCACCTGGGCATCTCAGTTTCAGTCAACTTCTCCCATAAAACGTACCTCATCAAGGAAGAAAAGTCCACTTGGTCCAGTCTCAGGGGTTATGCAGGAGTGTCTACTAGTGGGCAGACAAGCTGGGGGTGTACACCCCTGAGCTTAGAACTGGCTCACCTCTGCCTCTTTCTCTGCAGAAGACATCCTGGGAGTGCAGGCCACACGGCCCTGGGAGTTTTACCCCAGCAGCTCCTGCCGCACGGTGGTCTTCCCACTGCTGACCTCAGGCTCAGCCTTCTGGTTGCTCAGGCTCTGGGAAAAGCTGGGTCCATGGCCTGGCCCGGTGAGTAGCTATGTGCTGCTGGTGGGGCCCCGGCTCCTCCTCACTGCCTTCTCCTTTGCCCTGGATGGGGCTGTGTACCAGTTAGCCCCTCTGTGGGGGGCAGATCGCTGGAACGCCCTGGCCCTGCTGTCTGGCTCCTACGTCACCCTGGTTTTCTACACAAGGACCTTCTCCAATGCCATCGAGGGACTACTCTTCACGTGGTTGCTGGTCCTGGTGTCCCCTCATGTGGCATGGAACCCCATGCCCAACAAGCCTAGCCCAGGGCCACAGTGGCACAGCTGGCTTCTTGGGGCCATTGTAGCTGCTGGCTTCTTCAACCGGCCCACTTTTCTGGCCTTTGCTTTAGTTCCCCTCTTCCTCTGGGGCAGTCGCAGAACCATGAACCCTGGTTTCAAAGCATTGACCTGGGAGGCACTGGCACTGCTGCCTGGGGTGGCCCTCACTGCAGTGGTGTTTGTAGTCTCAGACAGTTGGTACTTCTCCAGCCTCTCTAGATCCAGTAGCCTTGTCCTTACACCCATCAACTTCTTGCACTACAACCTGGACCCCCAAAACCTCGCAAAGCATGGCACACACGCGCGGCTCACTCACGTGGCAGTCAATGGCTTTCTGCTCTTTGGTGTGTTGCATGCTGAGGCGCTGCAAGCTGCGTGGCAAGAGCTGCAAGTAGGCCTCCGGGTCTTTGCGCAAATGGGCCTCCAGAGGACACCAGGGGCCAGGGATCTGCTGTGGAGACCCAGGTCTTACCTTCTTCTCCTCTACTTCATACCCCTGGCCCTGCTATCTGCCTTTAGCCATCAGGAGGCTCGGTTCCTGATCCCCCTCATCGTGCCCTTGGTTCTGCTCTGTAGTCCACGAATCCGACCTGTGCCCTGGAAGGGCACTCTGGTCCTCTCCAATGCCCTGGGTGCCTTTTTCTTTGGCTGCCTGCATCAGGGGGGCCTGGTACCAGGTCTAAAGTACTTGGAGCAGGTGGTCCACACACCTGGGCTCCCAAGTGTGTCTACCCACTACACACTCCTCTTTTCTCACACCTACATGCCCCCTCAGCACCTTCTACACCTCCCTGGTCTCCACTCACCTGTGGAGGTGGTGGATATGGGTGGGACTGAGGACTGGGTCCTGTGTCAAATGCTGAAGAACCTCACCAGACAACCATCCTGCCAGGTAGCTGGTGGGCCATGGCTCTGCCGCCTCTTTGTGGTGACCCCTGGGACCACAAGGCATGCCGTGGAGAAGTGCAGCTTCCCCCTCAAGAATGAAACACGCATGTTTCCCCACTTGACCCTGGAGGACCCACCAGCCCTATCCTCACTGCTGAGTGGGGCTTGGAGAGACTACCTTAGTCTTCACATCATGGAACTGGAGAAGACATCTGAAAACACGACAGAGCAGCTGCTGCCCAAGATCCAGCCATAGGAGGTGTCACTTCACCTCCACAGTTATCTGGGCTGGAATATTGCAACAAGGCCCTGGTTCTCCTTCAGGATTCCCATTGTCTCCTCTCTAGGCACAGCCATTGATGGTTTTGCTTTCTGAGTGAGCTCACGTACCTTTCCCTCAGACACCAAAGATCTAACTAGTCAACAGTCCCAAAGCCAAGCTTCCCAAAGAATTCCACTATAACCAATGGCACTGTCTGTTCCTGTCCTGTTCCTTTTGGCCACTGTAATGTTTCAAATGTATAATAGCACCTGGTTGTGAAAGACAATGAACTGCTAATAACATTCCTGAATGACCTCTCAAACTTTCCACGATGCCTTAACCGCTTGCTATCATGACAAGGTCAATGGGCCTTCTAAACACTTGGGAGACATAGTAGTGGAGTGAACAGGTAGCTGGGATTCAGAGGATCCAAGATCGAATCCCTGCCATTCACTACCTGTGATTTTGCGAAAGCCCCAACTCACTGCTTAGTCTACACAACAGATCAGAGGAACTCTGAGGTATCCACTGCAAGTACTGTCATTCTTGGAGTTACAGTATGTTCTCAGGCTTGAAGAGCATTTCTCTCACAAGCTCTTAAACCATACAAGTGGAAATTATGTTATTTAAGGCTATTTTGGTGCCTACTGTCACAGTATTTGGTTATTCCCCAAACAAGTAATTTTGAAATTTTTCTCCTTTTCTCCATAGTCTTCTACTTTTCCATCCAGTAAGTGGTAGGAGTCTCTAGCCATTTCTGTTCCTTGTCTTTAAAAATTACTCTCCCAGGGCCTGGGAATGTAACTTTTTGGTAGAGGGCTGGTTTAGCATGCTCAAGACTCTGGGTTGAATCCCCAAGACACACACACACACACACTCACACACACACTCACACAAGCACACAAATTATTCTCCCAGAGTAAGGAGCCCAGTGTTTCCCCTTCTGACCACACACACTGTCTTACACCCTGTCAACCTGACCCTGTGGAAATTAAGACCACATGATGCTCAGTAGCTGGTAAAAGCCCATGTTTCCTCTATGGTTTCAAATTTTCTAGATTTCTTGATTAGGGGTTGGGAATATAGCTCAGTGGAAGCGCACTTGCCTAGCCCTGAGTTTACATCTCAGCATCGGAAACAACAAATACCAATAAGGCAATGAGATTTCATGATTAACTCAGAAATTTACTGAGGAGCCTCAAAAGAAGTTGATGGGTGTAAGGACAAGGCTACTGGATCTAGAGAGATCATTACATAGATCATTACAGAAAATTACATAGAATATGGATTTCCTAAACATGGGAAGCTGATAGTAGTTTGCATCCTAGATCTTCAAAACTGGGGAATAGGAATTCTGCTAGATTGTTTCATGGTAGGTAATAATAATTTCACTGCCCGGTGGTAATGGAAAAGGCAGGCCCAAAAGACCAGGGGAAATACTGCAGAGGACTGTAATTAAAGACATGGGTCCTGGAGCCAAATGGGTGCCTTCACTCTACTGCAAAGCTTTGGGCAACTTGAGAAATGGCCATTTTCTCCCATGTCTGTGGTTGTAAGAAGCGAGACAAGCCACACAGAATGTAATTAGCAAGTGCCAGCACAGAATAGACACCCAACATGTTGATAAATACTAACACGAACCTACAACCCCCAGTATTCCTAATCCATCTTGTCGGAGAAGTACCACGCTTATGCTTACGAGTAAGCTCACACGTTTAATGAGAGAATTTGGCAGCTGAAGGCTTGTCTTTCCACCCATCGTCTTAAATCTTCCCTGGAATCAGCACCCTGCTGCACCAGTGCAGTCCCATTAGTAGAGGGCAGGCAGGCAGGCTGGCTGTGGGTCCATGGCTGTCGTCCGTGCGTCGTTTGGGTCCAGTCTATATTTATCTGCCAGACTTAGGGAATCTTTCTCCAATCTCGGGGCTTCAACGTGGATATGGGTTTGGCCAGAATTCTTAGCGAGAGGTCTGAAGGCCGACGACCTCAGAATCCGAAGGCATGCGCGGGGCCCTAGAGAACTCCTTCACGCCAAGGTCAGGATCGAGCAGCGAAGGGAAAGTCGGTGACCTCAGCCAGACCCAGCCACAGATCTTAAGAGCGTGTGCCGGGGCGCTTCTGGCTAGCCGGTGGTGGTCGGGGACGGTCCCGGAGGCCGTCGCGCAGTTCCTGGGCGAAGGCGTCACGGAAGCGTACAGCGCGGCGACCCAGAAAGCCCGCGGGGCCGGCCGCGAGAGCGCGAAGGCGGCGGGCCGCGTCCTGGCCTCGCAGCTGCGCGTGGAGGAGGGCGAAAGCTGTGAGCTGCGCCGCGCGCCGGATAGGCCGAGACTCCGACAGCCGCTCCACCAGCTGTGGGCTGTGCAGCAGAGCTGCCAGCAGCCGCCGGAGAACCATCCTCCCTCACCCTGGAGCGCCGGAACCCGGTACGCTGAGCGTCCGCCTTCCGACCGGCCGTGTGGGACGTCGGACACATCTGCGTCCGCGCGGCGAGATGACGACACGACCGTGCTCTGATTGGACGCGATGACTCCCACCTCCCGCCGCCTTCGGCCTAGGTTTCCGCTTCCGCCTCGTCGGCCGGCGTGTTTCTCGGGCCCTCGTTCCTGTCCGCCTCTCGGCGCTATGTCCGGCGGCCTACTGAAGGCGCTGAGCAGCGACTCCTACGTGGAGCTCAGCCAGTACCGCGACCAGCATTTCCGGGTGAGGACAGCGGGCCGCGAGCGGGGCCAGCCTTGGGTCCGAACTCTGAGAAACGGTGTATACTTGTCTTACTGGGTCGTCCCCGCTCTGCCGGCGTCGGGAAGCGCGATGGGGGCCCCGGGGCCACGGGGAGGCTGCAGCTGGATGCCGAAGCGTGTTTGGATAAGGCACCTTGTCTCCTAGGGAGTTAGGAGCTCGCTTGTTCATTCTCTGGCTTCCATTGTCTACCTAGGCCAGTGCAGGAGGCTGCAGCCATGGGAATAGCGGGAGCGCTGTCTCCATGGGCGAAAGTGTGTGGTGAGATCACTCCCAGGGTATGTGGAGGTGACCCTGGCACTGGAATCTCCGTCTTTTCTCCTGTGGGATGGTGCTAAACATTTTACTTATGGGCAGAAGACTCCCAGCTTGAGTTCTGTCTCTCACTGGAGGAAGAGACAGGTCTGGCTAGACACTTTGAGAGTGTCCGGATGTCAAGATCAGAAGAGGGAAATTACTTGCAGAGCTGAGACTTAAATCTCCCCAGACCTGAGGAAAAATTTAAGTTTAGTCTATGTCATATATACATAAGTACACTATGTTATAGTGTATTTGCTTTATGGAAAATGACTACATGTGAGCGATTTTGTATCAGTAAGGGCCGGGGTGGGACAGGATGGAGCACCACTCAAAAGTTAAGTATAGGGGCTGGGAAGATGGCTCAGTGGTAGAGCGCTTGCCTTGCATGAATGAGGCCCTGGGTTCGATTCCTCAGCACCACATAAGCAAAATGAAAAAAGCCGGAAGTGGCGCTGTGGCTCAAGTGGTAGAGCTCTAGCCTTGAGCTGAAGAGTTGAGGGACAGCGCCCAGGCCCATAGTTCAGACCCCACAACCAGACCCCCCCCAAAAAAAAGTTAAGTATACTTAAGTGCTATTCTGAAGACTTCCCATGGGCCAGGGGCATGGATTAAGCGATGGAGCACCTGCTCTGTCCCAACCTCACTTTTGGCCATTACGTAAATAGATTATGTATGTATGTTTGTAAAAACAAATAGAAGCCTTCCAAGACTAAATGGGAAAGTTCTATACCCTAAGGAACTCAATCCTTCCTGATGGCATGTAAACGGAAACAAGGTCAAGGCTAGAGCACTCTACCATTTGAGCCACAGTCCACTTCGG